AAGCAGTGAACAGTTAATAACCCACAGAAAACACCTCGTGGATGGGAAAAAAAATAATAATCAAGAAGTCAATTTTCAAATCAGTAGAAACAACCTAGCTAACTTTCATTGACACAAATGGGCCTTTGAAACTAAGAGGAAAACTATATAAAAAGGACCAGCAGCAGCAGACAAGACTGCAACCATCCATCGCTTTATACATAAACTTAACTGACCATACGCTGTTACCAAGACTATAAAAAATTCAGACAAAGCATAAAATGATTTAACTTTTTATTGTAAATTTATTCTGTATTTGACCATAAACTCCACCTCTACTGAAATAAAATATAAATATGTTAAAACAAAACTGAGAAATCTGATATTTGTTACCACCGATGGGATTTGGAACTGTTGGACTTAGGGACAGAAAATGGACTCCTGTTTGTTTTAGGGTTGACCAGAGTCTTCGTTTGTCTTCCATAGCAGAGGAGTCAGTGCTGTTTAGGAAGACAACTTAAAGTCCAAAATTAGATCTGAAAAAAAGAGGAAAGAAGGGGGGAAATTATTCATATGAACAGGTAAAAGTCTGTGATGCAAATTGCTTACAACTCCTAAATTCTGTAGACATGAAGATATTCATCATACACCTGCATTTGATTCATTAAACAGGTTATGAATTGGCATTGTGGGCCCAGTGATTCCCTGCTCCTGTCCAGAGCGTGCACAAACAGTACAGGTCTGCAACTGAACCATGTTCAAGCAACGTGTGCTAAAATCTACAGCACTGTACATCATGCAATAATGGCTTCGGGACAGAAATAGATCAATGCCCACAAAGGGCAGCAAAGCAAGTATGTTTTTGAAAGATGCCAAATACTGAAGACCTGACCTGTGTGTGCATGACCATGAATAGGATGTGGCCTGCTTACCCCCAGCTTCATGTCCCTACTGGGGCAGGCCAGACAGAAGAACAGAAACACAGCCCCAGATCAAACAGACTCTAGAGAAGACGGTCTTGCAGACCTGACAGTTTGAGTAAAACGTGTTTGATTTAGGAAAGAGCTGAATGCGCCATGTCGGCATGAAGACAACATAGGTCTCTTGCAAAACGTGTGCTGCTGATGCCACCACCGATTCTATCATCCAGCTGTCCTGTGAGCCACTGCAGTGGACGTTGACTGCAGGAGAGGCCCGGCTATCAGGAAGAGCAGAGCCGACTCACAGCTGCCCCCAGCTAGCAGCAGGGGTTGCTGAGGTGTGGCGATTGGGCCAATTCAGACCCGCCCAAGCTCAGCACCGCCCAGCCGAGATAGTCATTCCTGTTGGGCTCAAGCAGGGCTCCTGGCTGAGCTAGCTGGAGCTGGGAGCCTACAAGCACACATGTATTGCCTCTGTTTTAAGAGAGTACTGAAGTCGCGAGCCTGAACACAAACGCAAACCACTCGGTGACTCTGGAGCCCAGGTGCTTCTGCAGCCACAGATCAGCCAAGTGTGCAGTACTCACATCGTCAATGTCTTCATCGTCATCTCCGATGTCATCAAACTGAATTTCGTCGTCATCTCCAGGACCAAACGTGTCTGTTTCATTGATTTTAGCTAAGGAAGGAAAAGGAAAAGAAAAAGATTATAGGGAATCTCAAATGCAGGTTAGAGAATGATTAATAAGATATGAACACGTCTCCCTCTGAAACTGACAGTGTAAACCAGTCGCGCTTACAGTCAACAGATGTTCAAATATTTCAAAGGTGCTGTCTGAAATAGCCTTTTCCCTACAAACCTGCATCTCAAACAAGCCCGCTCTGTCACAGCCCAGAAGCCGGAAACAGTGTGTGCTGGAAGCACTTACTTCATAACTGAACAGGCAAAAGCACTGATCGTTCAGAAAGAAAAACTCACCGTGTTCTGGAAGTTCACCATACGCTTTCAAACTCCTGGCTTCATCTGCGTTGTACTTCAGAATGACATCTGCCTTGTTATCCTGGGAGGAAGGGGCGATCAGAGACACAGCTCATGAGGGGGGGGTTTACATCTCAGGACAATACAACAACAAATTCTGTTTCCTAACACCTGTGAATATCACAGCTAACTGCAATAAATTCATTAGTGTCCTCAAGCCCACCAACACATTTGCAAAGAATTCCAGCTGGAACACACAAGAGTCAAAACAAAAAGAAAACTTAGAAACAGAACTGCTTACAAAGGCAAAAGCGACAGCAGGGCAGGGAGTACAGTAAGAGAATGAGCTAGATTTTTTCCGCCTTAGAAATGTGTTGAATTTGATGTTACTTGCGAGTCGCAATAGTTAAAAGGCGACCTCGGACATGTTTAAGAGCTGAAAACAGCTTCAAGTTAATGCTGGAGTTCAGCCCGAAGGGTCTGACTGTGTAACTCTGAACTCAGCTGGAAGAAAAACCAGCAACGTGTGGGGGCTTCCAGATCGAGGACTGGGAACCCCTGGCCTCAGGCTTCAGTGTCCATCAGTCAGAGTGAAGCAGGAAGCGGTTTAAACCCAGCAAATGCGCAAGACTCAGGACTGCGAAAAAGGAACAGACAGAGGCGTTGGTCTGGGTGCATGCAATCACTGACTAACCTGATAGTCCCTCAGGCCCACCAATATGATGTCAGATGTGTTTATCCAAACCTAGTGGGGGACAAAAACAAAAAGCCACAGTCTTGACATGCATACAAGCTCATTTAGCTCTTAAAGACAATGTTATTTAAGCATGTGACTTTAGGCCTTTCAAGCTGAGCTGCAACAAAACCAATAACTGGATTAACCTCCACCTGAACTAGTCCATTCCTCCAAGGACTGAATGTAGTTCCCAGTGGCAAGGGCGGCACGTCAAACCACTCTGTACAATGCCGCTCGGCCCAGATATGTTCTGGACGGCCGGCTGCTGAGATATAGGCAGATACTTCCCCCCACCGCCAACAACCTCCCCTCTCTGTGGCCGACTCTCAGTGGAATTTGTACACACGACCCAGTCCCGTCACCCCAACACCCTGATTTTACTTTCGTCAAAGGCCCGTCACTCGTGGTTCTGGTCAGACGTTCAGTCCCCTTGAATCGGCTTCAGACAGCGCACCATACCTTTTTTCTTAGCTTCCCCCTGATGTGGCAGAGCCTCTTGATGCCGTCGAAACACATGGCTTCCAACCTCCCGTTCCCCAGCATCTTAATTACCTGGGCGTACTCTAGAAGAGCAGAGGAACAAGAGGACACCCTGAGCACGGCCGTCAGCTTCAGGGTGCAGACCTTTTACCTGACGAAACTGAACGCGACCTTCCAATTACATGTCTGAAGGCCTGAGCGCTGCTTCACACTGCCGCCTCGACAAGAGCAAATTATAGAAGGGTTTAAAGACCTTTTTCCAGGACGGACCACATGCTAGCAAATATTTATTCATAAAGTTAAAAAGTTTTAACTCGTGTATTTCTGGCACATTATTGCTTGTTGAGTAGGGGTACCCTGCTACCCCAATAAAGGTGCTGACAAATATGATGCACACCGCCGAAACAGCCACAGCTACTTGCACCGACCGCTGTGAGAGGAACAGCAGCGGTCGGCACATGTCAAGATGGAAACAAAATCGCTCCGAACAAGAACAGAAATTCAGACGCACAAAATAACAGAATTAAGGGGAAAAAAGCAGTTATTTGACTGGAAGAGCAGCGGTGCTCCCCCTCCGACACTGTCCGGCACTCACCCTGGCCGTCTTCTTTGAACACCAGCTCTCTCTTCTCGGACTCATTCTCGTTCTTACCACGTCGCCTGTTTTTACCTCCCTTACCTAAGGAAGAAAAAGGTCAAGCCTTTAGTTTCCTAGGTCTAAGTTTAAACTTCTGCTACGACAGAACACAAAACAAAAATGCATGCTCCAGGACTACTGCTGTTTAAAAAGCCACAGCCCAAACTGTATCTTGTCGTGAATTATTATGACAATATTCCAAAGACGACCTTTATTATAAACTATGAGACCTGTTACATAAGGGGGGTCGGGATTCCACTGAAACTTTCCTAAAAATGTGCAAACATGTTTTTCCAGGATAGATCACAGGCTAGTTACGTATTTTTAACAATATATGTTGCCCACTGTGAACAACCAATGCTGCTATAAGAAGTTGTTCTAAACAAACAGGACCTTGGACTCTATTCTTTTTGTTGTAAAACATTTCTGAAAGAGACAACACCTAGCACTGTCTGATCCTGGTCCCTTTGGGAGCGGTGTGTGTGCGCGGTTTTTTTTTACTGCAACTCGGCTCTTAACGGGAGAAACTAGCGGGTTACTGGATTAACTGGACAAATTTAACAGCCCTTCATATACTGCTGCTTTACAATGGCTGGGAAAACAAACACACCAGCCCTCCTGGACCGGGACTGGACTGTCCTCAAAAAAAAAAAAAAAACTCCGTAAATCCTGGAGTGGATCAGACTGCTGTGCAGTGGGAGCGTGAATAGTTTGAAAGCGTCAGCCACCTCAATGTGGGATCATCAGAACCTAAAAAATAAACGGGCTGGACAAGGCCGCAGAAAACAGCCAGTTCAGCTCTGCTCCTGCACTCCCTCGCCTGCCCCCGGGATTACTGATATCCTCAACGGTGGCCATGAATCGCGCTCGCTTTCTGGTTAGCGGTGGGTTACAATGTGGCCCCACGATAACGACGTGTAGGAAATCGTAAAGGAAGCAGGGCCTAGTCGCACACCAGCACTGACACGGCACGTCTACGAGCCCAAAGATATGGCGAGTCGTCATTTCTACTCCCCGGCATCGGAAAGTCGCTGCGCAGGCTAAATACTGGCGGGGTTCATCGAGACGAGGAGTGAAATCGAGAACAACATTCGCTCTCAACTTTCCCCCTTAAGTACTCGGAATACAAAGGGGCCAAGAACGCATGAAGACCGAAAATGAACATTACAGATAAATAAAACCAGAATTTGAGAATTAAGGCTCTACAGGTGCCGATACCATAATCCTACAGGAAACATGCGTCGTGAAATCACCGAATCCCGGGACCCGTGGAAAAAAAAAAGATGGATCACGTTTTCACAGTGCACGTCTCTGCTTCACGCTAAAATACGGCCGCGTCAGACTCAAGTCCCGACGGAAAGGATCCTTACATTCCCCAGAACCTTACCTTTATTCTTCGGCATATTCGCTAGCAAGCGGACTGAACCCTCTCCGTGTTGTTAAGCCAAATGTCAACGACAGCGACACACTCGTTCTCGCTGACTCGCTCCTTCCTCAACAACGCCGCAGGAAGTCGCTCCTCCTCGCCGGACACACTGCACATGCGCGAAAGCGGCGCTTCAAAAAAAGCTTTATTTATACTTCCTCTCAGAGGGAGGGGAAAAAAAAAGACAACCGTCTGTATTTCGGTTTGCCGTACAGACCTGGTCAAGAGCGGCGACGAGGAACAGCTGCCTTAATAATGTTCCTTCATAAAAACAGATCACTACAGGGATGCCAGATTTACTCATTTCCCAATCTACCTGTATGCACGTGTCAAGATCTTTACTCCTACCGGAGTGCCACACAGCAGGCGCACTCCTCTCTCAAGCCGACCAGGTGGAGCAGTGAGAATTTGCTTTATCAGTTGCATTTGAAGGTGGGAAAGTCATATGGAGGCCGGATTATGAATTTACACATGACTCTGGCGTTAAGACTTGTAACTCCTATCAGCAGTGCCTAGAGCCTTTGACAGCTTTAATGACTTAAGCAGTGAGGACCTGGCCTTAACAGCTCAACAGAAGGACTTAAACCTCCTTCACCTACACCATACTGGAGCATTGGTTCAAAGATCCTGCTCCAGGAAGAAAACTACCACCTACTGGTCCAGCAATTCCACTTACAGCATGAAACTGGTTTCCTGTAAAGGTCTCCCGTTCCGATACCGAGCGGGTCCAGACTGGCTGGGTGTCCGAGATCTGACTTGATTAGGGCCACAGGGTGGTAATGCTGGCCCCTGCACAGTCCCTGTTGTGGGCCTGGAACCCAGTCCCAACGAAACTCTCCTCCAATCGGTTCAAATGGATGTCCGTCAAGGTTTTACTTGTCCTAGGCCTCCAGAAAACGGATCTTTCATTTTCGCACCAACAGTGCCAGAGCCAGGCTACCCGAGGGTTAATGCCAAGGCTGTGGATTTCACGCTGCTGCGCGAGCTGTTCTCAGAAATAACCCGATGTAAAGGCCAAATCTGTCAAAATGAAAATAAAACCTTTGGCTACGGGCTCCTTCAAACTCAACATCTCAAAAATAAATTGTGGAAAGATGAACAAAACACGGAGAGAATGGACTTTGTCGTGACATGAGTGGTTTTGTTCTCCTCTCAGCCTGAACTGTATTCCAACGTGCACACCTGCTGGCTTCTGTTTGCGGATACAGATAGGGAAATCCATTAAAAAAAATCTTTACAACAGAGAACAAACACGCCTTATATATGGGAATTGTTTATTTTTCATAGAAATTTATTTCTTTTTCAAAGATTACAAAAAAAAGCCCGCCTCGCTGTTTGAGATATACAAGCAGATAAAGGTTTCCAGTGCTTTTCATAAACTGAGGACAGAAATTTAACATCTGACACTTTAAGACTTGAAGCAACCCAGCAGTCAGCTCTCATGTAAAGCAAGATGGCATTTCCCAAAAAATCAGCTTGTTTCCTAAAGAAACTGTGACAAACGCAGAGTGTGCTGCACAAGCTCCCACCCCAGAAATCAAAAATAATAAACACCTTGATGTAGGGTGAATACCCAAGTCATATACACACTGACCTCACAAGCCATGCACAAGAAAACTAGTAGAAAGTGTGATTTCATACAAGTATATAAAAATAATACATCTGATTCCTTTTTTTTTGTTTTCCTTTAAAAATTTGATTCAAAGTATTTTTTAAATAATTACATCCCTCATCTTTACATGTCCCTTTTAAATTGTGCTAACAAGATAAAGCTAAAATACAGATTAACAGGATCTTTATCTGCTGGAGTCTTGCCCTTCTTCTCACACCAGTACAGTAAGAGCTTAGACGCGGGTTTCCTCTCGCCAGCAGAGACCGAACAGGCAGATTAAGACGACTGACAACAGCAAGACAGGAGGAAAACTGTCTGACACGCGCTTTACCCAGCATGCTCTCCCTACGACACTTCTGCACTGGCAGTCAATGGCTGAGAAGATCAAGTAAGTGCTGTGTTGACGGTTACACACGTAGAACAACCTCTCATTCATCACCATGAGCCTGCACCGAAACCATTCTCTGCAAGCAAGATCATGTGAATCCACCGATCGTTTTTCTTGATCATCATAAAACAACCAATGCTTGTATCAACAGCCTCTCCATTGATTTCTTGGAAAGACACAGATTCAAAGTAATTTCGACAGGTACAGTGAAGAATGAATTTCCAAGAAAAGAAATGGCTATTAATCAGTCTGTACATTTTATTTGGTACACTGCTGATTTTGTAGGTGAACCACTAATCAAGGATTTCAGGTTTTTGACCATTTGTCCCATTTGACAGATACATTTTGTGCAGTACTTTAATACTGCAAGGACTTCAGGAAGAGATTTGGTATTGATTTTTTACCCAAATGAAAGCCTTCCAGCTATAGTGGTTTTAGTTGTTATTGTGTTCCAGATATTGGTAATGGATTCTCGTACTCTCAGCCCAGCTCAGAACAGTGTGCACGCCCACACATCAGTAACTCTAAGCACACCAATTTTTGCATTTCCCACTTAAATTTTGCAAAACAAATAAAAAAAAAAGAAAACACCTGAAATTTTTCTTTTACTGGTCTCTCTCACACTGGACGGTGCTAATATGATCACATTTTCTCCTTTGTCTCCTTTTCTACATACAGCAGTTCCATGCTATTCAATGCAATCAAGTAGGTTTAAGTGGTCATCCTAAGAAATCTGTGCATTTGTATTTTTTCCCCCAAATACAGCATTTTGTCCATCCGTCACCTCATCTCACGTGAGAAAGTTTGTTCTTTCCATAAACGTAGATGGACTTGCAAAGCTGGGTTCAGGTCACACAATGCATTTACTGCATCAACCCTGTGATTCAGGGTTGACAGTCAATAGCATCAGCTGAAGAGTTACAGTAAGTGCACAACCGTGATCCTCATCGGCAGCAGGGTCTTGCGGGTTTCGGCTTTAGAGCAATCACTCGATTCAGTCTACTAAGTTAACGTTTAAAGACCCTTCGTCTCTCGTTGCAGAAGATCTACTGGAACCGCGCAGCCGTCTTTACCAGCAGAAAATCCCTACGCAACCTCAGAGAAGCAGAGCGAAGGCGGGGACAGTTGTACGGACAATTCCAGGCACTCGGATCGCTGGTGCTCTGCCTGAAAGCCTTGTCAAGAGAGAAGGTAAGGAGAGCGGCAGGGGATCAGACCAGCACACACGAAGGGGCGCCTCCCGTCTCGAGACGCGCCCTGCCCTCGTGCGTACACTGGGTCAGAGGGGGGGGAACGAAGACCGAACAGAAGAAGTTCTTCCTGAGATTATCTGTAATGTTAACCAGCATCCCGCCCCGTCGAGGACACCACCCTCTCTGTTGTTCAAATGAGCAATGTGAAAAATAAAGAAGCGGGGAAAAATGACAGCGTGTAGGATGAGCCGAGACCCAACACCAATCTCTGCTTCGTCTGCGCTGTGACAGACACCCTGCGGCCAGGGTCCGGGCAGAAGACTGGGTGAGCAAACGTTTGTCCCTTTGCAAAAATGCAGAACTGTTGGCTGTGGCTGTTAGTGTAATATTCTCAGAACGTTTCCTCATTGAACGCTGTTTTATCCCAGTTCATTCTCCAGCGTCCTGCAGGATTCCGATTAAGGTGAGCAGACCAGCTCCTGCAGGGGCGTCTTCAGCTTTAGCAAGGTGACCACTTGACATGTCACAGCTGAGCAGATCACTACATTAGACTGCTGTCCTACTGCAGCAAAGTCCTTACTCATAATACAGTGAATCAACTGTAGCTCAGTAAGACAAAAGCTATAAATCTTGAATCTAATACATACTTATAAATCTCGTAGAGTATATATATATTCAGATTTTTGCATGTAAATATTTCTAATTGCTCAAAAAAAATCAAGAAGTTTACTATACAGTACATTTACTCCCCATATAAAAGAAAACTTTAAATGGGTGCGCAACAGTTTTCAGTTTAGAGGCAGCAATGATTGTACAAGCTAAATATTTGATATCCCATTGAGCGGATGTACAGTTAATATCTTTGTTCGTGGGGAAAGACTCAGCTTCCGATTCCACGCTCGTATTTGGCGTTGAGGAGATCGTGGCAGGGCCACGGAGCTCGTTATGTAGCAGGGGTCCGGTGGGGGCCTAGAGGTCGGCTGTGGGAGCAGGGTGCCCCAGCTGGCTCGGGGTCAAAGGTTGTCTGGGGGACTTGGTGAGGTCACAGGGCTGTTGAGGTCAGCTTCTTGATGCCCCTCCTCTGGGCTAGGGTAGAGCAGCCCACTGGCTCCAGCACTGGAGACAGGGGGTTCCGGTTCAGAGCGGAGTATGTTGCCGCCATTGCTCCCTATGGGGGAAAAAAAAAGACTAATCTGAGTCGATGCCGTTAAACCAATAGAATAAACTTCCCTCCTAAGAGACCTTGGAATAAGAAGTCTGTAGCTCTAGTGCTGGCGTAATGCTATGACGAAATCTCATCTGTAGGCTCGTCTTTGTACATATAAGCATGACTTCCTGCCTTCAGGGCTGCCAGGAGTACGATGAAATGTGCACACAAGATGTTTTCCCTCGGTCCCTCTACAGACTGCACAGTAAGGCAACAAACGTTTGGTGGGAAAAGAAAACTCCCAAGTTTCCAAAGCGTGGCTCTGAATTTGTGGACAACCACTTTTGTGGGACTGCTTTTCCATTAAAAAAAACAAAAAAACAACAACAACTCGGGATTAAAAAAAAAAAGAAAAAAAGCCTGTGCCTTCCCAGAAGGCTGGCCTGCAGGGGTGATCGGGGATGTTACCTTCACCAGGTGAGGCGCGTCCTGCCGGTTGAGCTGGTACTGGGGCAGCTGGTCTCTGTGGATGATCCAGGGGTGCCGCAGCACCTGGGCAGCGGTCAGGCGCTGGTGTGGATCCACATGGAGCATCTTGGACACCAGGTCCTGTGGCGAGACAGCAGCGGTAGGTCACCGGCATGGCTTCTGCCAGCCCACTCCGCCGCACCGCCCTCGGGGCCTTCCTCATGCGTTTGTCTCGCGTGAGACTTCCACGGTTTGTTCACGTCCACCACATTCACAGAACCTCCCCCCTGCTTTGTGCTGTGCGTGTGTGCGTGTGCGCGCCTGGATCCCGGATGTGAACAGATCGGCCTGCTGATCTGCACAGCTCACACCCAAGTCAATCAGAAAGGAACAGGGCCCCTGCTGAACGCAGACTGGATGCACAGTTGAATCTGGAGGTGTGTGGGCCTCACTGTGAAACTCCAGCTCATCTAACTGGACGGGACTTGTTAAGCAAGCAATGCACGCCATTTTCAAAGGAAAAAAATCAAGCACTGAACAGCACAAGAACTGCTCTCAAACTAACCTGGGATGCCTTACAGTTTCACTGAGCTGTCAGGTGTCGACCTAGCATAGCTGTTAATGTTTCGTAAGTATGGTACTGTCCTGCTGCATCAAAGTGGAGATCGGCGTGGTGTGTGCACGTTGCAGTTTGCATTTTCAAGATAGCACACCAGTCAGTCACATGCATACCTTTGCCTCTGTGGAGACAGAATTCCAATATCCCCCGGAAAGAGAGAACTTCCCACTGCCGATTCGAGCCAGGATCTCCTCTGGAGTGTCGTCAGGCCCGTTTGCAAACGGAGTGAACCTGGATGAAACAGAAACCCACAGAAGTAAATCGTCTGTGTTGTGCTGGTTAACACTGGAGAATTAATACAGTTGTGGGTTAAGTGTTTTAAGTTTACAGTATGACAGACCTAAGACTCTCTCTTAGGCACATACACATCTCTCTCTCATACAGACATGTCAGACCTGGCCAAGTCACACACTAATCCTTCTAGATGTAAAATGTTGAAGATTAAACCTATGCTTGCTGGAAATTATATCCCAATTACATTAAATGCATATGTTATTTAACCACATTCAGCAGAAACACTTCTCAACCACCACAACACAGCCTGGGGATAAACGTGCTTCACCATTAATTTCCAAAGTTACTGTAGTGCAAACCTTTATCACTGCCCCCAGATGGCACTAGAGAGTTGCAGATTTCAGAATACACAGGTTCTCGTGTGCCTTACCCTGTAAGCATAGTGTATAGCAGCACTCCTAGACTCCAGATGTCACACGCTGCATCATAGCCTTGTTTCTTTAAAACCTGCAGGGACATACGAGCTTGTTTAGAAACAGGCCAGGAAAAGAAAGAGATGCTTCTGCCTCCTGATAACACCACTATCAATAAAGCACACAGGTCCAGTGCTGACCAGTCTTATCTCACGCTCAGCTTGAGCAGCTGAGCGGGTCACTACATTTATTTGCACAGTACTATGGATTCCCCTCAACGTTTTCTAATCAACCGACAGAGGTTAACCCAAAAAAGCCGTAAACTTGACCCGCCCCACGCTGTGAAACATTAAAGACGCAGCTCGGCGGAAAACAACCGCTAACTAATCCCTGGAGGGGCGGGCAGTGAGCTCGACGGGAGGGGCTCTACCTCGGGAGCCACGAAGTTGGCGGTGTAGCAGGGCGTCATGAGCAGCCCGTTCTCCGCCCTGAGCTGCTTGGCGAACCCGAAGTCGCAGATGCGGATGGACTCGGGGTTCCCAGACTCGTCCACGTACAGGATGTTGCTGGGCTTCAGGTCCCTGTGCACCACCTGGCGGGACAGGAAGCAGAGGGGACGTCACGGGTGCCAACACTGCCCTGCAGTAACATCTCAAGTACGCCCTCGCCTCAGCCTGCTGCCATTTGCTGTCTCTCTTTCCTCCACAGAGCTAATCCAACAGGAAGTGCACACCTGCTTCGTGTCAAAGCCATCATTCGATTGACTAGTTTTACAGATTTTTTTTTAAGTTTATGTTTTAATTAATACAGATGGAAGAACCAATACTGACCATGTCGGTCTAACAAATCACTGCCCCTCTGGACCTGGCTAGCCCAGTTCTGTGCTGTGAAGTGCGCCTGTTCCTTTCTTTAACAGCAGTGCATTTCCAAAACTGATAATGAGCGGGGATGGTCAGATTAGTAAATCTAATTAGTGATTGGTAAGATATTAACAATATTTTAGATCAGAAAGGAGGTTCAATTCTTCAACCTAACTCTCTTCCTTTATGAGAATAATAAGGAATAAGAAATCTGCTGTTTGTCAGCGCAGTTTGGAAGTCTGACGCTTCCTGAACAGTCCAGGACTGAGAGAAATAAGGCCAGGACACTGAATGGAGGGAATGTAAGACTGCAAATCTGACAACCGTGTTTCAACTAACACACTGTTTAATAATCTCCACATGGCAAAATATTCCGAACAATTCCCACATATTCCACAATTATTGGTCATCATTACAGACTATTTAAATACAGGTGTTTCAAGTTAAATATTTAATCAACTTGAAGACTTTGAAAGCCGCAACAAGATGCCAACTTGACCGCTCGAAAGTTCTTAAGTTACAAGATTCTGGCTTCTGGAAGAGCAGCATTTCCACATTTTTTTTACCTCCAGTATTTGGCTTTTCCGTGATTTCACCTAAGCACCATTACTCATGTCTTCATGACAGGAAGAAGAAGAAAAAGAAGAAGAGGTGTACGTACCCCTTGAACATGAAGGTATTCCACCGTTCTGGTGATGGTGTAGAGAACAGCGCTGGCCTCTCTTTCCGAGAAGAACTTCTGCCTCAGGATCTTGTCCAGGAGCTCCCCTCCTTTCATCAGCTCAGTCACCAGATACACAGAGCGGCCGTCGTCATACACCTGCACACACGGGCGGGGGAGAGAGAAGAGAGGATTGCTCGCCCATTTCTGAAGGAGATGGCGGTCTAAGACCTGACTACACAGTCATTAAGAAACCTCAGGCACTCTTAAGAGTCGTGGTGTTAACCCTGGAGTCCGAGTTTAAATCCCACTTCCAGTCTGCACAATCTGGCCTCTCTAACGCTGCCCTTTACTCAACTGCAAAAGACATTTCTGACGTCTCTCCCCCTGATCGGCTGTGCAGTGGGGCTGCTGGTACAGAACAGCTCCCACATGTCTCCCAGGTGGGGCTGTACTACAGTGATGGGTGAAGGGTGTTCCCTCCGAATACTGCGAAGCCCCTTGAAGTAAGTCCTACACAAAAGCGTATTATGATTACTACTACTATTTAAAAGAAATTGAACAAGTTCCTTTTCTTAACATAACTTTGGACAGTTTTAGATATCCAAAGTCTGTTAACACTGCAATATATACGTACATTATAGAATTTATTAATAGAATGATGCACACCTCTAAACAGCTGTAAAAAAAAACATTCACCTTCCTTTGAAAGCTCCACTTGTTTCAGACAAACCTGCCAGCTGTGTGCGTATGCGATCCATTTCCAGATAAATGGGCTCCAGCCGACACTAACAAAGGTCTGGCTATCTGGAGAGGAGGCCTGCTGATGACAAATGTGCCGACTACCGCTGCCTTCTATATCGGAGTCCGAAGGGCTTTTAATTAACCCAAATGTCAAGGATTTATTTTCCTGGCCAGGCCAACACAGGAGTCTTGCATCAAGGGATTAATTAAGCACTGTTCAGCTGTTTCTTGCACAGTAATGCAATCCCAGTGGCTCTTGTTCAAATCAGTATTTAAGGCACTGCCCGCTGCACAGCCAGAGTCACGGCTCTTTTCCCTGGTTGCGCTGTGAGGGTCAGGCTGTATTGCTATTATATAAGCCAGTCAAGCTTTGTAATAGTCTGGCCAGGTCCCTCCGGTCACGCTGTGCCAGCACTCAGCACTGCGAGGCTCCACATCAATTTGAGTCACACAGTGCTGCGGATCCAGGGCTCATTAACTTCAGGCAAATCCAAGCCATGTAAGGGCACTGCTCGCCATGGCTTAGCTCTGACTTGGTTTCTATTAGTACACTCTTTCCTCAGCAGAGCGAAGAACCTTGGCACTTCTGTGCTCTTCCCATTCCACTGCTCTATGCCGGTCGTGCCTGGAACTTAAATTACCTTATGGATCCTGCAGCTGATGATCTCGTAAATAATCTGAGATCAAGTGGAATAAAGACTTACAAGTGCGAGTTAGGAGGTAGAATGGTTTCTAAAGCTAAAGTTGCATACTTGTACTCTACTGCATTGAGCATAGGTTTTAATGGCCATTTTCCACATTTTCTGTGCTTGGATAAGCCTCCCAGGATCTCCCCTTGCTTGCAAACCAGCACTGCAGATCTCATACTCACCTGCCAGGGGGCGCTAGAACTGCATTGCGACAGCTCATCAGCACCGACAGCTAAATGCCACCAAAACGCTGGTGATGAAATACGTACTTACATCCTTCAGAGTGATGATATTGGGGTGCTGTCCGTACCGCAGCAGGATCTCCACCTCCTCTGTCGGGTCCCTCTTGGCCTTGCTGATGATCTGCAAGAGGCCAGATAAGTGAAATCTCCCAAAACGCCACCTGTCCTCCCACATGCTGCCTTTGCTTCCCAGAACGAGTGACGAGATCCCAGTGGAAAAACAGCACATGCACAAAGCCTTGTTAGTTAAGAATAATGAGAATTACACGGACATTAGCCTGCAGATGAGGGGGAATACAAGTCTGAACACCAGTACATTCTGAGAAAACTACAAGGGAAAAGCATTAGAAAATAGAATTGCCATATTAAAATATTGGAAATTCTTGTGCTTTAATTAAAGAAGTTTCCCTCCCTGATCCCTGGGGGACTGCTGTATTTTCTTCCTGCTTTTTCTCTAGCCAAAGTCTTGAAATCACAGGCTAATGGCTTTTAATTTCAGATTTAGGGGCCCCATGTTTAATTTCACCTGAGAAACATTCAGTGGGATGTGTCACAGAATCAGAACTGCCTTCTTTCAGGTGAGCAGCCTTAGTGTGTAACCGGCGGTCCTCCTCAAAAGGGAAAAAAAAAAGCCCAGTGGGAGTGACTGACGCACAGACATTCCCATCTGTCTCTGCTCATCAGACCCCTCAGCTGTTAATGCTGTCTCATCAGAAAGAAGGATTAGCTAAGGTGAAGAGAGACTGCATAAGGTCTCGCTGCATGAGAGTATCTCTGAATCTCAGGAGCTTACAATGGTGTAAAGCAAAAGTCCAAACGAGCAAGCAGATCAACTGAAGGCATCGATGAGCGCTGGCGATCAGGAACCAGCAGATACAGAGGTCCCTCAAGCCTTTTCTGATGCCTGCTGCGCAATTATCAGGAATGACAACAAATGGGCTCAAGCCAGAACTCGCCTTGACTGCGTATTCCATGTTGGTGGACTTCTGAATGCAGCGCTTGCAGATGGAGTACGAGCCCACCCCGATGTCCTCTTTCACCTCGTAGTTGTCCGTGAACTGTATGCTGTTTCTGTGCAGCTGCTGAGGAGGACACAAAGCCCAGGTTAGTAATAGTTACACCACAGCATCTTCCACACTACTGCACAAAGGCCATCCCAAAAAAAAAAATGCCATCCAAGACCATACTTACAAGCTGCGATACTCAATATTAAAACAGAAATATCGACTTAAACACAACTGTGATATTTACTGCAATAAAATCACAAATTTAGATATTTCAACTCAGAACAGAATTTCTCACTAGAATCAGACGTCCTGCAATTCTTTTCTTTTTATTAAAAGAAACTTCTGGGTGACGCCGTCCTCAGTGTTATCTGAACACTGTTTTTGCATCCCTTAATAATTAAGAAAGTGGCAAAATACGCTGTGTAACAGAGGAGGTAAAGGTCAGGCTCTTTTGTTAAACTTCCCCAAATCATTCAACACAGGGAAACAAAACCAACAGTAAGTATTAAGAGAACATTCATGCAGTCTTCCTATACCATGACTTTCCTCAAAACAAAAGCAGAAGTTTTAGTGAACTCAGCATGCACACAGTTTCACACTTACTGAGCTGCAGTACATGAGCTTACTTCCATTTTTACACTTCCAGAGCTTCAGTCATCTTGTTAAAACACAGGCCTTCACTTTCACCTCGATTCTCTTTACTTTCCTATTTGCTGCGTGGGGGTCTTCAGCTTTTGTTTTGTTTTTAGGAACAAGACTTGGAGCCGAAACATCACTGAAATCCAGGAGAGGTTTGTGGACAGTGTGGGGAAACGTAGCGGGGACCACTAGTTTGGTTAGGACATGGCATCTACAGATGAGAGGCTGCCATCTGGCTGGTCAAGCCTGCTGGGTTTTAAATGTCAATTGATCCCAGTATGTCAATCAATCAAGGTTTATCAATGCACGAACAGTACAGCGTTCAACGGTGTTGTCGGCAATGAAATGCTTTATCCTCGAGCTTGTTAAGAGGCACAGAAGAGTAGAAGGACAGCTTTTAGGGATTAGGTAAGGATTACGATACAATAAATTATACAACTGCTATTTACAATACAGTTACAGATTGTATGAATGTAACACAAAGATAGGAGGTATTTAGCGCTGTTTATATGTGTCCCTGAGAGTGCAAAGTGACAGGAGGGCGCCGGTGTACCCTATCAGTTCAAGTAGGCAACCTGTCATATCGTGAAAACAAGCAACGGTATCGACTTACACAGAGGCAAGCTTGTTCCAGACTCCGACAAGCCTCTGTGTAAATAACTGCCTCACATTTCTCTCCTGTTTCCCTGCTCTGTGTCCTCTGGCTCCAGCTGCCCTCTCGAGGACACGAGGAAGAGGCGGTGCCCGAGGGGTGCGGCTGTGGCTCACCTGGACAATGGAGTTCACGCCGGCGGTGGGCAGAGGCTGGCTCTCCTCCTCAGCGGTGATGGCAACAAAACTGAAGCCCCTGAAGAGCTGGTGGGCGTTGGCGCTGGGGGGCACGCCGGGGGAGTCTGTGCAGAGGCAGGCAAAACAAGGATCAGGAAAGAAGCATGAAACGAAATCACTTGTGGAAAAGTGACGCCTTTTCCTCAGCTGTCATTACGGCGACCCCATGTAAAAACACTTGCAAAAGACACATCCTCAGGATGTTTACACATCAATGCTGAAAAAAGAAGTACTGAAGTGTATTATTCAGGATAAATGTTTTGAGTATGACGAGAAGAAACAGAAGAGAAAAAAAAATGCCAATTCATACAAGTGTTTCTCAACTGAAATAGAATTCATGCCACACCAACATCAAGTGGAGTTTTTCCTTTTTAACAACTACGCAAACTGCCTGCGTCTGAATTAAACGTGTTAACAGTGCCTCTCTCTGCTATGGTCATACCTTTAGGTGTTTTGGCTGTGAACTCGGGATCAAAGTAGAAGGTGTCATCTGGCCGACCAGAGGCTGGTTTAAAGGGAGGATGGATTTCTCTTCTGAAGAGCTTCTATAATACAGAACAACCCTCTATTAGTCAGACATGTCCAAACACCAAGCACTCTGCATGCAGGAGTTCAGCGGCCTTCTTAAGCTCTTTTGTTATGGGAACAGTACAAACATAACGGCCACAAACTACCATTTTTAGCTTTTGACTTCTTATTAAAACACACCTTACAGGTTTATCCTCTCCTCCCCTCTTGACTAATTTAGATGTTTTTTTCTGTTGCTTTCTTTTTTTTGTCCTGAAGAGCGAATCGTCATCTTTGTTTCAGAAAGGGGATGGTAGCAGAAGAAACAAAGTACTTACGTTCCAATCGATCGTGGAGAAAAACGCATGCCTCTTTATTTCTTCCACGCCATCTGGCCCAGCACCTAGGGGATAAAAGTACATATCTTTGCATCTTTCGAAGCTGCTCACTGATCTAAATTCCTGGTTTAGTTTAGAAGATTCTTAAGATATCATATAGTCTGTACTCCACTTCTGCACTGGAGAACAAGGATGTTTTTCATAGAGGATTTGAACTCATTATCTTAGAAGTTCGCTATTGCATTTTTTTTCTAAATGCACCAGGAGAGTAAGGGGTACATGAAACTCTGCTGTACCGACCTATTTCTGGGAGAACAGCTGCATCCCTTCCAAAAGAATGCGGGGGAAAAGCTGGAGACATGGGCACGACGACTCACTATGGGTCACTTCAGCTATATTTCATGTCATCAAAGCCCCCCCCCCCTGACACAAACGAGGTCAGTACCCAGGATCATCAAATCATCTGTCAGTCTTTCAGAAGGTGACAGCATTGTGGTCATACACTACAATAACTGTGCTGCCTGAAGGAACGGTTTTGAAAAGCTCTGAACACACTTTTCTTTCAGCTGCTACTGGTGCTGGTGGGGGTGTGGGACTGTGTGTCGGATGCGGAGGAGGTTGCCCACAGGTGACGCAGAGGGACCGAGGCGCCTTACCTAGCCTGTTCCCTGGGTTCCGCTTGAACAGCATCCGGAGGAGGCTCTGAGCTTCGGAGCTCAGGAACTGTGGCATTCCCAGCTTGGCTCTGGGAAAACAGGAGGGAGTGCGCGTCAGACACTGCAACACAGGGGACGCCAGCTCCAGAGGAAAAAAAGAAGACTGGAGAAGCTTTTTTTTAAGTCTGCAACAGAAACACGCGATCTCCACAGAGTCAGGCTGACATTGGTGATCGTGCTGCGGAAGCCCCCGTGTGCAATCTCTGTGTAGCACCCGATGGTGAAAATACTGCAGCTGAAGCTCAGGTAAAAAAAAAGGCAGGAAAGGTTTGCGATGTCAGCAGTAAGCTAGAGGGCAAGCCTGCTGCAGCGATGCGGTGCACTTACTTTAAAATCATGGTCATCGTCTCCTTCCGGTCCTTTCCTTGGAAGGGCAAGGTCCCAGTCAGCATCTCGAACTGCAGGGAAGACAGGACGTCTTAGTGGGACAATGATAAATACCGTGTACAAGGCCAATACCTTTATCCACGATGATTTATCAAGACACAGTCCTTTATGAAGACGGGCACTGTGCTGAAACGCTCAGATCATTCCCAGCTCGAGCTCATCCGACAGGCCGAGGTGGGGAGCACGTAAAACAAAGTTAAACGCAGAACTACTGCCTGAAAAAAACAGTACTTTGCTGGAAAATCCATCGGAGTGCAAGAGGGCAGAGCTCCACCGGAAAATGTCTCATCTCAATGACGGCAGAATTGCACTGAATTAGTCTTGGAGGCCATTTTGCAAGTAATGACCCAGCCGTTCGCAGACAAAGAGAACGTACCTGAGCAATCATCCAAGTACAATTCTGCAGCCGAGGTGATTCAGGCATTAGGTGCTGCCAGAATGTCCTATTTGGCGAGGAATGCAATTTTGTGGTATACCATGATGAGTCTATCAGACTCATCATTTTTTTAATCACCCAATTTCATCTTGGTACTCTAATATCAGATTGTTCAGGCCTCAGCTGGTTCCACAGGCAGTGCCGTACATAGAAAGAAAGCCATTACATCTCCTTTCACAGTGGAATTAGCGGAATCCAACTTCTAGGCAGCACACGATTTGCACACCTCCACAAACAGTCATTTGACTCCTCTTTCTTGAGCCTATCAAAGAGACATCTGACAGGGCAGTGGCACGACTTCTTAGGAAGGGAACCTACCCTCTCCCATCCAAAATCCTGAATTTGTAAGAAGCAAGAGTCTTGCCGACAACTTGCTGGTAATTTTGGTAGGGGTCCTGTGCCGATCGAGACTGTAGTGTATTTTATTTTAAATGTTGGTTTAGAGAACAAAACAAAACCATTTTACATATTAACCACCATTTTTCAGCCTTACTTTTACAATACACTTTTGACTACACATCACAAGCAGAAATGGTCTATTCCTGTTTGTTCCCCTAGTATATTACAATCATATATCTTTTAAACAAAACTATATACATTCAAAATGAGGAAGATGTATACATTTGTGAATATGAAAAGGGAGGAAACTATAAAAATGTACCTTATTAAGTTTCAGTTATTTTGTATCTCAACAAATTCTGACCTTAAAGGTTTAATGTACTGAACCAATATTCGACTAATTTTTTCATTTGTAATTTTAGTTTCTATTATATAGATTTCCTTTATTAATTCAATCCAATCATTCATTGTTTGTAAATCCGGGAGAAGCCACTTTCTTGTTTCTAGCTGTCTTCCCTGCTGATATAAGGATTTGCAGTGTATTTTCCAAGTTTCTGCGCGGCACCGAGCTGCACTGGAAACGCCCGGGTCCTCGCCGCCCTCACCATGAGCACGCCGAACGACCACCAGTCCGCGCTGTGGGTGTGCCCCCGCCGGTTCACCACCTCGGGGGCCATGTACTCCACCGTGCCACAGAACGAGTAGGCCTTGTTCTCGTGATCAATCGACTCCTTGCTCAGGCCAAAATCTGGAAAGGCGCGCACACACACAAGAGACTTTGAGAGACGCAATGGCAGAGGTTTTTAAAGACAAAAACGACTATTCCACTTCCTCTGCTGTGGGGGGTATTCACTGTGTAAAGACCCTACTGGCGTAAAGTTCTATAAAATCACAAGCTTTCCAGTCACCTGCTGCTGCAGTTAACACACATCGACAATATTTTTAAAAATTGTTTATTGCATTCAATCATTACAAACACCCTCATTAGCAGGATCTGGATGGGAGGTTTCTTCACACTACAAACTTGTCCCAGCTTACTGCATTGCCTCCTCCCTCTTATGGGAGTCTAATACCATACAATAGGGAAGATGGCAAATCTGAAACTGCAAGAGCTCTTGTGATAGTGTGTGGCTTATAAAGCATTTCCATGTGAAACCACATACATGCTTCTTTTTATACTGTCACAGACATGGCCACATACCTAGAGTTTATTATACATGCAGCGATAAATATGTCAAAGAAAATATTTTTCCTTCCTAGTAAGTTGTTTCTTGTATATCTGAATCTATGTTTATTGCTATCGAGGTGCAGAACTCTTTTTATACACAACCTGCTGTTACATACCTGTTAATTTTATATGCCCTTCTTCATCGAGCAAAATGCTGTAAAGAGACACAGTCCTTTGATTAATACAAACGGAGATCATGAACGTTACCCTGAACCTTAACTGGGAACAAAACAAAAGGACAAACTGAGGACCCTAGAGGCCAAACTGATTAGCTTTGAAAACTGAAACGGGGCAAGGACAGAATCAAGGACTGGATGCAAAAATGAATGTAAAAGAAGTGAAAAGTCAAATAGCCACACAGTATTACAACCTACAAAGATTTGGTTTGTAGCATTTAAAAAAAAAAAAGACCAACCGTAGCTCAAACTGCGGACTATCTACAGGTATAGCTATTTAACTTTGCAAGACCATCCGGTGACATCATTTGTCCTATGAGTAAGTCAGGTTGGCAGGGTAAGGCTGAGCAAAGCGAGAAAGTTTTGTGAGCGTGAAATGGTGATAAAATGCACGCTGGTTCCATAGTGGTTAGAAAAGCACTCCCATCTAAGCACTTGACCCAGTTTCGGTTCCCAGCCAATACAGTTCCAGTGTTCACAGGGAAATTCATTTATAACTGATAACCTTAGGCGCTTCTTTCAGCGGGAGTCATGAACAAACTAAACAGTTTTTTTTTGCTGAAGCGGATAATATGGTTCCTTTCAAGAAACAGAGGGGGTAGTCAAACTACCACCAACGTGCCGGATGTGCCGAATTACTTCCTCTCCTTTGGAGCCTTCGTGTTCTTACAGCCCCCCTAAGAAGGCCAGCGAACTACTGCATGCAGAGTGTGTGATGACAGGTTTTCATAAATGTCTGACTATCGGGGGGTGTCCTGTACCACAGACATCCAGCCCCTGTGTAAAACAACCAGTTAGCTAACTACCGTATGAGCTAGATGGGCCCAATCCGCTCTTTGCAATGGTTCTTAAGAATCGGAGAGGAAACATGTGGCTATCCCACCGACCGCCACATCACCCCGTTGTGTACCCCCTGCCCTTTTGCTCGTACTTCTCTGGCTTGAGGTCTCTGTAGATGATGCCCAGGCTGTGTAAGTGGTCCAGGGCGAGGGCCAGCTCTGCCAGATAGAACTTGACATCCTCTTCCGTGAACATCACCTGCCGTTGCAGAGGGGACAGAGAAGGAAGAGGAAGAGGGGACAGAGAAGGAGGAAAACACACCGGGGAGGAGATGAGAAGAACGCAAATGAGACACGCAGAGAACTATTCTTCTTTTCCTGCCCTGGTGTTACTTATTTTCCTCCCCAAGCTACCAAAGAAGAACAAAGACTATCCAGTGGCACTTTGTTTAGAAAGGAAACAACAGAGTTCCTTGTTAAAACCACTCAGGAACAACACCTCGGGTGACTAATCCGGCTGCCCTATCTTGAGGGAACGAAGACAGGAAACGGTGACTGCTCAGTTTCCCCTGCCTCAGCCAGTGTGGTACAGTAATTACTGTCATGTGCACCTTTGCAGAGGGACTGGAGGCTGGAAGGCTGCTCACTGGTTTTCTGTAGCTATGGCTCCTGAATGTGCCTCTGACTTGCTGAGACTTCGGTTGCAGAAACAATTTGCCGTACCTTCCAGATAAGCTGCTTCTTAAACACCAGTAAGCACAGCATGCTCTCCTCTAGCTGTGGGACAGGCCTCTCATAGCATCACTTAAAGCAGAGGTCCCAACCAGACGACAGCAGGTTTGCTAGGTTTCCTGCGTCATACTGAGAACTGACTGGTGCAATAACACTTAACTGGACCCGATTGTTCTCCACAGATATTTTAAAGAAAACTCTCTGGATTGTGGCCTTTAAAGACCAGGACTGGGAACAACGATTTGAAGTATAGGATGATTAAACTTCTTTTTGAATAACAATCTGTCATAACTAATCACTTCCACCGCCTGTCGCGGACGCCGGGAGACAACGATGGATTCCCGGGCTGCTCCCTCGATTGCATTAGGGCACAGGCATAATACTCATAACATCTACACCAGGGATCGTTCCAGGACAGAAAGCAGCTGGCCGCGGCGGCAACCCCTCACACCTGCACACTGCGCTTCTGCTTGATCCGTACCTCTTTAGACAGGCGGGTGAACAGATCTCCTCCCCTGAGAAAGTCCAGAATGAGATAGAGCTTCCCTTCTGTCTGGAACGCTGAAACAAAGTGACCAGGCAGGAGTCAGCACCGCACAGCATACCTCAGGACTACCTCCAGGCGAGGGCCAAGAGGGCTGAATGATGGTAAGGCATGGCAATGGGCAACTATACGTTCTTGACAGAAATCCAGCAGTACAGAACTGTGCACTTCTAACACAGCCCTTACGGGGCATCATTAAACAGATACACTACTGTCTGGGAAAATGCTTCCATACTCCAAGCAGTTTAGATTAGAGTTCTCTATATTTGCGATATTTAAATAAAAAGACCAACAGGCGCATGGTTCAGGGCTGGGATACTATATGCTATAGTTAATGCTATTTAAAAAAAAAAGTTAGTGACTTTTAATAGGAACAATAATTTAATCTCCTTGGTTTTAGAACATTAGGAGCTGCTGGCAAACCAAGCATGGCAACATATGGCTCCCGAATCGGCTCTTACCATAATGCAGCTTCACGATGAAGGGGTGATTCACCTCCACCAGGATGTCGCGTTCCATTTTTGTTCGAACGCGATCTCTGACTGAAAGGACGAGACAAAAGGACTCAGGCAGAGATAAACGCAGCCTCCTGCTGGAGCCTGCTATCACACTGACTCATGGACGGCGCCAGGGGGACTTGATCAAAGTGCTAAGAGAGACGTCTGTCGTTTTTCTGAACGCATTCATTAGTCAGACCCTTCGCTGCATTCCGAATTCCTCTTCATCAGCTCTCACGGACCTCTCTATATTCAGGGCCAGTGATGGAAGTAAAAACTAATTACACTTTAATGGCAAATTAACCTTCATAAATTGCACTGCAAGATGGTTATTAACCCTGACCTACCCATTAAGAAAGCATTTTTTTAATCAATGAGCAATCTCATTTTAGTTAATATCCATGTAATACATTCATTACATTAATTACTAGAGGTTGATTCTCACCACGTTATTAACACTCAATGTCATGTTGATCTATTTTTGGTGGTAGAAGATTCAGAAAAGTAGTTTCTAAAGCCCTCTCAAGCGTTATGGAGAAACCTGTTCACTTCCTGTTTCATTCAGGCATGCAAAGGAAGAATGCCAGAAATATACAGTATGAAAATCTACCCTTCTCCGTAAATCTAACTGAACAACATTCCAATTGGTAAAAGCTCAGGCCTTTCTGAAGCGCATTTACCTGTATTGTGGCATTTCTTTTATGACCACTGCGTGGTGTCTAAACCTGACAAAAAATCTTGAATTAAAAGCTGCAGAACTTTATTTTTTAAAAGACTATTTTGGATATCCAGCCACTGATCATGAGGCAATTTTCTGATGTAAAGAGAACGGCATTCCATATTCAAGCAAATTATTAGCAGGTTTTTTCCTCAAATATGCCAGTTTCATTAGTATTCAACACACATATTTAGACCACTTGGTTTATTTTATAAAAAAGATTTTGTGATGGCACGGATGATGCAGCTTGAGAACCAGTCAAATTATTTATAAATTGGGTAGAATACTGGCACAGGCTTCTGTTCAATGTGTCCAAATTGCTGTCAGTCCTCACAGTGCCATTCAAAGTGGCAGCATTCACAGAATCTATGGCCAGTCATGGCTTACATGGCTTTATGAGGACAGGATGCTGAACAGGTTTTTAAAGCGAAACAGGCTTGAGACTTAAAACCAGGTAGGGGATACTAGCACGGCAGTGTCACATTAGGGCCCGGTCCAGACTGCCCTTCAACGGCTGTTATTTTCACAAAAGATGGAACCTATTGGATTATGTCACCTTCTCTGGGGGTGCTCACTATGAAACAGCCTGTTTGAAAACATCAACTCAATGACTGTAAGAAAAGACAACCCTCCCCTCTTGCCCTCCGTCTTTGGTCTCTTTGGTACCTAGGGACGATCGGGATGCCTCTGTGTTTTGTGTCACTCTATGGTATAAAAGACGCCAAATCTCTGCTGAAGCCTATTGTTTCACTGCTAAACCTAGCACACAGCAGAAGAGCAGAATACGCCACTCTCAAACCCAGAGCTGCTGAAAACAGACTCTTATATTAAGTGCTTTTACGTGCTTTATGAAGCCGGAAGGGAATTCCTTCCATCTCTGTCTTGACCCCTCTAAAGGGCAGCGCTGTACTGCGAAAGGAATAAACACCATGCTGCATTGCTAGTGACACTGCATTCACCGATGTTGATTAACCTTAATGATCTGACAATAAATGAGTACAGAGAGCAATTTAAGGCCAGACGCAGACTGCTGTGGCTCCGGCTGTTTACGAGCTGTTCCGATTCAGAGCGATTCCCAGACTCCGCTGTGTCAAAGATTCTGAAGCAGAGCTCACTGCTGTCTGCATCAGCACTTTCCTTCGGCATGGCCAGAAGAGACATCCAGAAACCAGGGGACAAAGAAAAAGCATGTGGAGGCTATCCAGCCCCGAAGCAGGAAACTCTCCACAGCTTTTCTAAACTGTGCCAAGATGGCAGCAGCTTGGAGGGGCAGATCCCAAGTGTTTTATGTTTGGCCAGGGTCTTTCCATCAGACCGCTCCAGTAAAATGCCCAGCTGTATTTACGGGTATAATTTAAGCAGGTTTGGATAAAAACATCAGCAGAACAACTTAGTAGTGAATGGAGTAAGAGAGATATAATTCATTTCGGGGGACACAGCAACTGCAAACTCTTGCAGAAGCCAAAAAAAAACACTTTCTTTGTTCCTTTGAACATGACATTAATGATCGACATTCAGCTGACTTCCAACACACTGCATTTCTGCTTTGCTAGTGTAATTAGCACGAGATTTCGGTTCTTAAACACAAAAAAGGACCAAACCGCTCCACAGTGGAAGCTGTGCTCGATTCCAAAGAGTACTTAGCAACACTAAGGAGAGACTGGGAGAAGAAAGGCTCTTTCCATCTGGAGTTGTGATCAGGCAATTATGGATGCAATCAGGCATTAAGAAGAGTCACAGACACAAGCACAATATCTATTAAGACTTGTGGCAACACTGTGGCAAATACCAAGACAGGAAGTAACATTCTGTCTTACAGGAGTCTATAATTAATCTGTCTGAGAGGTTCTAGTTCAAGCAGCTTCCTGTCATTTCAAACATTAAAGGCCTGGGAAAAGGAGGCCACATATGGGACAAGGCTTTATTTCAGACACACAATGTATAAACAGAGGGGGTGTTGCCCTGAGAAATGATGTTAATAATGACCAGAAACAAAGAGCTGTGCACAAAGACAGCACTGTAGGCATGTGTGTGCACTGGCCTGGAGATGTGCAGTGAGTCCTACAAATACACCGTCACGCTGTGAGGATCGGGCTGACATCAGTCTGTAGTCAAAAAGTAAACACCCGAAACAGTTCCTTGGGCACTGAGAGGCTTAATATTGCTAACAGGAGGTATAACATCCAGAACAAAGATCAAATTATAAATGTAGAGGCATTGCAGCTTTTTTGTTGAAAGCTGCCACAATTGAGGTGTACAATTCTGTACCCTTTTTCTATGTGAATGACTTACCATACCATACTTATAAAGGCTGCCACAACAATATTTAAAAGTTTGAAATGCCGATTAAAAACCTCAGAAACAAACAAATTAAATGCTCATTATTCTGAAGAAAAACACGTCAGCCTCAACAGGGTAAGATATATTGGATCACGTAAATTGCATACATCAGCACTAAAGGCCTGAACAGTCTGGCCTTGCTTTAAAACTCTGGATTCAAAAACACTGAGGACACAATTCAGGACACTGAATTGTAACTTCATCAATTAATATAAGTTTAGAGCATTGCTTGCTTATACCATGACATGACTGTGTCTCAGACAAGATGAGTGGATTTCTGACAGTAAGAAAACATTTACCTTTAAGTGTTGCCTTCTTAAGCACCTTCATAGCATAAAGCTGTCCAGCATCAGGGCCCGTGATCTTCTTCACAAGGAATACCTGTGGTGGACAAGTCCAGAAGTTACAAGACACAGCAGAGATGGCCTAAGTGGGGTGGGGAGTCCTTCTTTCAGCACTTGACGTCCTCGAGGCTGGACTAGGTTCTCTCACACAGCAGCCCCAGTAGACCAGTGTACAGGAGCACTGGATGCTATCAGCTGATTAATAATATCGTTCGGAGAGTCAGACAAATTGGCCTAGATGGGTTCTCCAGGCTGGGCGGCAGAGGAGAAGGGCTTTGAGGGGCAGTGGAGCTCAGAGGTCATTACCAGCACTAAGGTCACCGCCGGAGGGCCCATGAGAACTTGGTGGGAACCCACACGGCACAGAGGAGCACCCCGAGACAATGCCCTTCACCTTGCATATCCGCGCTCCACTGGTGCATCAGCTAATGAGTTCTCATCCGAGCACAGGCCCCCTGACAAGGCAGGCAGGACACGGGGTGATGCTCCTGGAATAAAGGGCCCTTTCAGCTCCAGAGAGCAGAGACAGAGACGCCACTGTGGGCCAGCCATTAGCGCTGCATGCTTGCCGAATTCCTGCCGAAGCACGCACGCTTTAAAAGGCAAATCCGCAGAGTTAGCTGCAACAGTGCAAATAGGATGTTCTGATCCCTGATCTGGGCTCAGGACACCAGACGCAAGTAAACAGATGCCCCAGGACTCAGCTCGGCACAAACAAGAAGAGGTCCAATTGCAAAAACCTCACACTGCCTGAAAAACGTACACGAGGCATGCATGGCTATCACCAGCCAAGAAAGACTAATAATACTGACACCCGAAGAAGGCTCCACAGCTGAAACTTTGCGTTTTGTTTCTTCTCTTTTCAGCATGGAATAAACCTTTACTTGTTCCTAGTCATATTAACTACCATATGCCCCCACTAGCTGAGAATGCTCATCTCCATGCTCATCACACAGCTCACACTACAGCAGTGGAGGGCACAGCTAAAATCAGTCAAGGGTCACATGCATGCCACCCATCCAGCCTTAAAGGCTGTAACACATATCCAAACAAAGCAATTGACAAGAACATTTTTGAAAATCCTACTCAATTCCCTTGCACATGTCCAATGGTTGAAATGATTTGTAAACAATGCTCACACTTAATCTATTTCTGATTGCTCACAGGGTGGTCTCTGAGGGCCATCGAGTACCCGCCATTACCAGGTCTGTGCATGACTAGATCCCTCAACTGAAACCTATCTGTCCCTGAAAAAGGCAGTAAAAATAAAAGGGTGTACTGCGTGCACTTGCAAGACACGCATTCGGTCCTCAAAGCGTTTCTCTCTAAAACCACATCCAGCCCACTCCCCGCCGCCCCCCCACACACTCACCTTCCCGAAAGAGCCTTGGCCCAGCACCTTCCTCAGCTCAAACTGCCGCGGGTCGGCCTTCTCGTGGCCCTCCTTGACGTGGTGGGTGATGGCAATCTCCTTGACGTGCCCCTCGTCCTGGACGACAGTCAGGGAAGAGAAGGCAGGGTGAGCTCCCGGCTCAAGGCAGCCCAGCGCGTTTCGGTGTTAAAAGCAGGTGGGAGGAAAGCAGGAATAGGAAGGCCTGACGAGCCTCGCACGTGCTGCCCTACCTCCTCTCCCCTCTCCCCTCTCCCCCCCTCCAGGAACCCCGCCCCAACAACCACGGGCGCTCCCACACGCCCCCACATACGTGATAGGCCGTCCCGCCGTCCCACGGCTTTGTCTTGCCCCGCGAGCTGCTCTGTGCCACAGCATCACCCATGCCCATCAGCACCCGGCCCCCGGGGGGCAGCAGGAGAGCGGGGCTAGGAAGCGGGACAGCCCGGGCGGCGCGGGCCCGGCGGCGCGGCCGAATCCTCCATTGCCTGTAATGGAGGCAGCGAGCTGTGGCGGCGATGTGTGCAGTCCTGCAGGCAGGGGAGGATCGCGTTTGACAGCTCCCACACTGTTGCCATGCTACCCCTCTCGCAGGCATCAGCAGGTGGGAGTGGAGGAGGTGACTAAGGAAGAGGGCCCTTCGCTTCTCTCTCTCTCTCGTTAACTCTTCGCTGTGCCTTCTCCTGCTTCCCCTCCTCTTCCTGTCTCCCTTCTGCCACCCGCCTGCGCTGGGAAAACCTCCAAGTCCGAAACTGCACTCGTACAGCTACAGCACTGAGTCACGCTGCACACTTTCCTCATCAGACACACAATGCCCCCCCCCCACTGCCACCGGAACTTTTTTTTATACACGCTTCGACTTCAAAAGGTACGACGCAGCCTTGACAAATAACTACAAAGATACTAACCCCGAGGAAAAGGCTAAAAACCTGGAGATCTCGGCATCTGCATGCCTTCGGAATCAGGAAGCCGATACTATAGGGCTCTTAGTGGTACTGAGATAAGAGACTTGTGTGAGCAGAACACTGACAAAAGCACAGAATCTCAAAACACTTGTCTCTCTCTCAAAAGGTGTGATCTGTAGATGCTCAGCACGAGCAGGAGACATTTCTCGCGTCAGAAAGAGTTTGCAGATCAGTGCGCTGCGCATGAATGACTCTTACGAGAAACAACCAGGAACTACACTCGTTAAACTAGGCTCTCAGAGGTTCATCCTCAGCGATGAGATTTTTCCCCAATAAATGGAAATGGATATCTGACTCCAGAAGGGAGCCTTACAATAGGCAAAGCTCATCTTTGTCAAGCTGAACCTTGAGAATGTGGAAGAAGTCAATTTAGGACAGATGCATATTGTAAATGTGAAACTAATCCCCGGGAGAGCAGGCCACATTTCAATCATAAAAATGAGAAGTCTGTTAGACTCAACCCACTGTACAGCGCTCATGATAAAAGAGCCACGCACAGGGTAACAGCACAGAACCGGTGAAGGGTTAATCACAAACGAGTATCTTATGTGGGAAATCGCTCAGCGAACACAGGCTGCTCCTCGTGGGAGCTAAATATTAATCTAAAAAAAAACACTGACCCTTACTTCAGATACCGCACCTTACAGTAATTGGCTCTACGGAAAGAAAAAAAACCTGGACACGCACGGAAACTCATCTACGACGCCGAGCAGAGAAGACCTCTGGCAGAAGCACAGTACCTGATATTCACACGAGGAGCACAGAGAGGCGACGACAACACTCCTGTCCATCCTCTGCAGTTCCAGAGACAGCCTATACGGTTTGCATTCTGTCAGCAGCGCAAGCATGCTGCCATCAGAGAGGCAGGAGCCCGTCTCCCGCGCGAGGAGGGGAAGTTGCCAGGGCAGAGCGCAGCAGACGCACCAGGATGTGTGGCCTGGCCGGGAAGCGGAGAGGAGAAGTGAGAGGCGCGGACCCGCTCCGCCACGCACACGCGGCGCTCACCGATCCCTCTCCGCGACAGAGCGGCTAAGTGCTAATTCAATTAAAAAGGCTGCTCTCCGAGGAACGTTCAAGCCTTGCACAAAAGCCGGAGAGGCGACGGATAACCAAACCCACCCGCAAAACAACGACATCTCCGAAGGGCCGCTGCTGCGAAACACAACAGTAACACAACAGATGCCTCCGATCTTTCCTGGGATCACACGTCTGGTCTCGGAGACAAGGCTCGAATGCAGCATGTGAACGTCTAAGCGAAATGTCAGCGTGTGTCACGCAGTCGCGTCGGCTCTTGGCGCTGGTGCGATCAGACACACAAAATAAATCTGGAGTGTTAAAAAGAGACTCTGCTTCAGGCAGTGGGGGGGGGGGGGAGGTGCTCGTCTCGGCAGGTCTCAGCCTGCATGTGGTCAGTAAGGGAAACCTGTGACGCAGTGAGGAGAGCTGGCCTTTGGCCTCAGGAGGTTTCACTTTCACTAGACGTCACCCTGTCTAGAAGTCGGAACAGAATTTGCAGGATCCTTCCTGTAGACCAGGCAAAATGCAAGTACTTTGGAAATTCAGCAGCTCAGACTCCAGCCCTGACCCATCGACACTGCTCCATGCCAGAGAACTGCCAGGACAGTTGGTTTGTCTCCTGAATCCCTTATGTAGCTTATTTTCTAATGAGACCATCCACCCATCCCGTTTCATCCAATTCAGGGTCGATGAAGCCTAACTCCACAAGCAATGGGCTCAAGGTTCAGGATGTGATGCCAGTCTATTCTAGGGCACACGCAAACATGAACAGAGACACATACGCACTCGGACCAGAGCAAATTCTTCTAGAAGCCAGTTAAGCTACCAATATGTTTTTGGCCTGTGGGGGGAAACCAGTTCAAATGAAACCTTTCCTCCAAAAACTCAGCTGCCAATAAAAACTAGATGCATCTCCACAACAACCCTGACTGCTCTTCTGATACTTCTTGATCACTAACAATCATCCCTAGGAAATGACGCAAAAGGGAAAATTGCTAGCAGTTGCAACTCTCCTCCTCCAGAAAAAGTCCAGTAAGAACAAATGTGTCTGACCTCTGACCTTTCTGGAGCACTCAACAATGTCAACGATGCTGATTGGATCAAAGTCTCAACCATGAGGCACAGCGGATTCAGAGGAGATCCTGCTACCAGTCTCCTGTCACCCCAAGAGCAGTTGCTGATGGAACCGGTGACAGGCCCAGAAAGACTCAGGAGACTGGACTACAGCCTTAACAGAGGCAGGCTGGCAGCCCTGAGGCGTTTATTGAAGTGCAGCCAAGCTACTGACGAGAAGTGACCTTGGGCTAATCATTTTCAGAGCAAGTGTCAGACTGGGAAGATTAGTTCTCTTACTCCGCTAAAGACATGTCAGAACCCATTCGAGCAACAGGCAGGAATGGACCACCCTCTGCACAATAAAACGTCATGCCAGAGTGTGTTTTCTGTTTTAAGAAGAAACATTTATTCTGGGAGCTGACAGAGGGCATTGCATGTTGTTAGTCAAGTGCACAAGAAAGGTTCAATTCAAAACTTTATCGCATGGTCGGTTCATGAAATTATTCACCAAGTTACCCTGATAGGGACTGGGATTCACACAGAATAACGCACCTAAACTGACGTGCTTGCAAAAACAATACACTAAAACGTGCTTCCAAATCTTGTTTTGTTGTTTAAAAAAATAGTTTCTTCTGTCGGCAGATGGTCCTTCAGAAAGACAGAAGCAGGATCGTTTACCTGTCTCTCTCTACCTCGTTAGGCATCGAGACTCACAGATCACAGAATATGTAACAGACAGACCTCATCTCTGCCAGGACCAGCTGTTCTGCTTCCTGTTTATGGAATTTTAAAACGAATTGCAGCTCAAACCGGTAAAGCTGAAAATGTTCTTTAAAACGGCATCTTTCCAATACAGCATACGTCAATAACATCCGGGTCGTGACCTATCTCATGCTGTTTCAAAATTCTGTACCATGGCCTGCGATGCCCGATACGCAGGGTAGAACATGAGACTACAATTGCTTTTTTCAATTAAAAAAAAAAGTGACCCAGCACAGGACAAAGAATATCTGGGCAATACAACCAAAGAAGAAAGAATATGGCCAAAAAGCAGCTGCATTTTGAACTCTGCTGTGACTGCCCTTCCAAGAGGAAGTCGAGATGTGCGATGCAGACATCCTTCGGCTCAGGAAAACGAGGGACCAGCAATCACCTGGTAAAAAGGAGCCACACAGGAAAGCCCACCCTGAGGCCCCCCGCATGAGCTCTGTTCTCTTGAAGTGATGACAGGCTGGGCTCAGAACTCGTACAGACGTGCCTCTCTGCACAGGCAGGCATGCAGGAAGCTACAGTAGTACATCTTCCACAATCAACAGCTTCAGGGGAGGATTGAAGAATTTGCATATTCTGTACAGACGAGGAGTCCCCAACCCTGGTCCCAATTCCATTATTCCTGCAGGTCAGTTTAAATGACCTGATAAGGATTAGGGACACTTATTTAGGCAGTTGATCAGTCAAGCAAGTGAAGTATCAACGAAGGGAACACTGATCCTTGAGAGCTGATGTTTTCTCCCAATGATCTCTGAATGACTGAACTGAATGAACCACCTGTTTATTTGATCAAGTTGTTCCACGCCTTTAGAAACTGATGTTTTAAAGGGCTCCTGTAAAAACCTGCCAAATGCAAATTGAGTCTACTGGAAAAGCCAAAAGGTGTGACAGAAAACGACTGTTGAAAAGAGCTGCTGCAGTCAGAGGGAGCGGACTACCGACACGCTGACCTCAGCTGACTTCCGACATTTTCAGGACACGCGAGAAAGCCCCGACAGAATAAAAACGCTGCTAAGCAGAACGGTGAGCCCATGTGAGCAGTTCTTTTATGCCCACTGAAATGGCTGCAGCCGTGCCCCGCGGGAGTGCTGAACCAGATGGTTCCACCAGCCCCCAGGCGAGCCGCGGGTCTCTAGCCCGAGTTCCCGGAGGAAACCTTAACATCACAACTCTGAAACGTCTGCCCAGAGGCACTGAAACACAACCCGGGCATGGGAGATAGTGTTGCTCTGGAACCAGACCAGGGAAGAGCAACCAGATACACCCGTGGCCCCACAGAGAGCGTTCGCCTCTGACAGGCCGAAGGAGTTTAGTCTTGGACAGAGATGACTACGACGGGGACCCAACTCAAACACTCACAAATCACTGACCCAAGTCAACCCAGCTGCACCAGAAACAGCTGGACCGTGCGTGCCACAAAAGGGGGCGCCCAACCCACTTTCCTATTCCTCCATGCTGAGCCCTAACCATCCGGTGCGTCTGCTCAGGCGCTGGACTCAACCGGCGCCGGCTGTCACCTCTGCAGCATCAATCCACCTCCCCTGCCAACCGAGTTCTCCACGAGGAGAAAATGAAAGTCCACGGTGTAAACAAAGCGACAGGAAGATTTCCGTTTCTAGAGAGAAACAAGGGTTTAGGGCGGACTGTAAAAAGATCAAATGAAACCAGCAAAAGAGAGATCGCCTGGGAATTCAGTGCAAGACTTGTGAGCAACCAATCCCGGATGCTGAACTACAGCAGCACTGCGAGTGGCTCAACCCTGTCTGAGCCTTCCTGAAAAGTGTGTCAAAACCCACAGAAATTCACATGACCCGATCCATCACAGCACCCTTCCCTCCGCCGACGCCCATAATCTCACTCACACGCTCCCCGCGGAAAACCCCGCCGCCGCTCTCGAACTTCTGCCGCAGACAGATGGACATCGCCCGGCCGCAGGCGATCCTTGTGGGCTGGCTGAATTCCACCGGCGACTCGGATTCGCCGTTCGC